ATAGATAGATAGATAGATAGATAGATAGATAGATAGATAGATAGATAGATAGAAGATTGGAAAGATGGACTGCAAGAAGGCAATCAAACCAATCATTCTAGAGGAGATCAACCCTGACTGCTCTTTAGAAGGACAGATCCTGAAGATGAAACTCAAATACTTTGGCCATCAAATGAGAAGGAAGGACTCCCTGGAGAAGAGCCTCATGCTGGGAACGATTGAGGGCAAAAGAAGAAGGGGACGACAGAGAATGAGGTGGCTGGATGGAGCCATCAAAGCAGTCAGCGTGAGCTTAAATGGACTCCAGAGAATGGTAGACGATAGGAAGGCCTGGAGGAACATTGTCCATGGGGTCACAATGGGTTGGACATGACTTTGCAACTAACAACAACAATTGGACAAGTAGCTAATATAGTATCTAATGCTACATACTGTAGGCCAAGTAATGGAGCTGGTCTTGTAGCATGAAAACAATTTGAAGGTATATTGAAAAAAAAAAGGAAGGTGAACTTGCTTAGGTTCTTTAAAACCAAGAACTTTCTTCCTTGAACAGTGGTTTTCATATCAGAGCTTATCAGAAGGAAGCTTCTCCAGCAAATGCCCCGGAAGTCTTTTTTTTTTTATGTTGCTGATAATCCTGAGAGCATGTTCTTTTCCTTGTACTTAGGAAAGAACTGGAAATCTTTGTGTACTTAGGGTGCTGCCACACAAACTCGGAATGCAGTCTATGATTTATAACAATTTCCTTTTCCAGATGTGGATTTCAGAGAAAGATCGATACAGGTGGGGGCGGGGAAAGTTGGCTGGTCATTAAAGGTAACGGTTCCCCTCACACATATGTGCTAGTTGTTCCTGAGTCTAGGGGGCGGTGCTCATCTCTGTTTCAAAGCCAAAGAACCAGTGCTGTCTGAAGGCGTCTCCATGGTCATGTGGCCGGCATGACTAAATGCTGAAGGCGCACCAAGCACTGTTACCTTCCCTGGAACGCTTATTATTTTTCTACCTGCATTTTTATATGCTTTTGAACTGCTAGGTTGGCAAAAGCTGGGACAAATAATGGGAGCTCACTCCATTACGCAGTGCTAGGGATTCGAACCACCAATTTCCAAAGTGGTTTACCATTGCTTTCTTCCCAGAACTGAGAGAGAGTGGCTGGCCCAAGGTCACCATTATGCCTAAGGCAGAACTAGAACTCCTGATCTCCCAGTTTATCGCTTGATGCCTTATTATTATTATTATTATGGTTGGTTGGTTGTAAAGTCAGCCAGATGTTTATACTAGATTTGGTATTTTTATCCACCTGTCGAGTCTTTCCCAAGAACCTGGGATAGGCAGATGTTCATTGGTGATATTAAAGGGACCATTGCAGGATGTAAGCAGTTCCAAGTAAAACTGCTTTTTCCAATTGATTAATAATTTCTGTCAATATGGATTGTATTCAAATGGAATTCCAGTTATTCTGGGACTGCACCTATTACTATAGACACTATCTTTGCCAATTATTTTTATTGTGTAATATATAATACTTTAATATTATTATATAATAATATTGTTGATGATATTAATTGTTGTTACTGACCATTTTATTGGGATTACAGTGAATATTTCCTCCATCTCTTCCTCTTCCCCCTCCAATTTATTGTCCTAAGAACTTATAAAAATAATGTTCAAGATAGTTTTGTAGAGATTCTCAGTCATCCAGGTCATGATTGTTCCAAAGGTGTTTTTTCAGGAAGCAACTGGACTTCCTTGTTTTTTCTTTCTTTTGAAGACATTCCGCTTCTCATCCAAAAAAAAGCAACCATGACCTGAATGGCTGAGAATCTCGACAGACCTTTAGTTATACAATTTGGGATGAACACCTTTTGAATGGTGTGAGTGGAGGAATGGATTTCCAGAAGAGAAAAAAAATTGCAGACTACAGAAACCAGGAGCACTAACTCAGGTGACCCTGAGGACACAGATAAACCTCCAAGTGCTTCAACAACCCTCTAAAAAGGATGCCAGTAACCATCTGTCTGCAAGGAATATAAATCCTTCCATTTCCCACTATCCTCTCAGAGCTGAAGAAGCTTCTTGGATGAGAAGCGAAACGCCTACAAAAGAACAAAAACAGTCCAGTTGTCTCCTGAAAAAGCACCTTTGGGACAATGTGGAAGATAATCATCCCCAACCGTTTTAGCCTAGTTGGCTGTATTGCTGCCAGTTCCTTCCTATCAATATCTGGAGGGCTACGCAGTCTCTCTCCTCTATGAATCAGAAAAGGAAGTTGATAGACTAAGGTTGAGATAGGTATTTGGAGGCTATAAAACCGTGATGGCGAGCCTATGGGACACGGAGCCATATCAGTGGGCACGTGAGCTCAGCTCCGGCGCATGCCAGTTGACTTTCAGGCCTACTGGGCCCACCAGAAGTTGGGAAACAGGCTGTTTTCAGCCTCCAGTGGGTCTCTGGAGGGGTGTGGAAGGCCATTTTCGCCCTCCCCAGGCTCCTAGAAAGGGTTTGCAGCTTGGGGAGGGCAAAAAACAGGTCCACAGTGCCATCACATGCCAAAAGCGGGGGGGGGAGCGCAAGGGGTCGCGTGTGCATGCCTGGGGGAGGGCGCATAGAATTATGGGTGTGCGCATGCACGCGCACAACCCCTCCACACACGCTGCCCCCCACTTTTGGCACGTGATGGCAAAAAAGTTAGCCATCACTGCTATAGAAACTTAATTCAGGACCGAATGAAAAGAAAGGAGGCGGAGTAGCAACTTTAGAACTATATTTGCATGTGCCTTGGCCTTCAATTGCTCTTTGTACTGAGAGCTAAAAATACTTTTAAGTGAATCCAGATTCTCATTTCATAACCATGTAGGGGGGGAAAAAAACCCCAACTGTTAACTAGAGCAGAAATAGTTTTATACTGTAAGTTCATAATTGCTTGCCTTGAGATAAGGCTAAGAAAAGGTTTCCTAGCACTATGATGGCAAACCTATGGTACGCGTGCTACAGGTTGCATGCAGAGCCTTCTCTGTGGGAATGTGAGCTGTTGCCCCAGCTCAGCTCCACCGTGTATGCACGCGCGCCTCCCGCCAGCCAGCTGGTTTTTGGGTCTTTGCTGCGCATGCATGAGGCGCATGCACGAGACCTGTGCGCATGTGTGGGGCTGTGCTCATACACAGGGATTGTGCACAGGGGGCACATGCGGAGGGGGTTGCACACGCATGGCATTATGGGTGTTTTCGCATTCGGCACGTGGCAACAAAAAGGTTAGCCATCTCTGCCCTAGTACTCCAGAAAGAATACAGTTAAGTCAAGATTGTGTGTGGGAAGATCTCAAATAATTACTCTCTAATCTTAACCAAGCACAGAGCTTTTATTGATGCCAGCTTTAGAACAAAGGGGAGAATCTAGACTCCAGCGATATGGTAATATCAGGTCATCTCCACTTTACAAGGTGTCCCTTTCTGTAGATAAATGTGCAGGTTCTCTGCAATGATTTCCCATTCTTCCCAACTCAACACTGCAACGTTTTGGATGACGTTCCTTCCATTCATAAATGACGCCCGCTGTCTATTTTCCTTAGCAAATCCTGAATCACATTCTGGATGACATTGAATATTTTGTCACCAAGCTTCAAAAAGCAGCAGAAGCTTTTACGGAACTCTCAAAGCGGAAGAAAAGCAAGAAAAATAAGAAGAAAGGACCAGGTGGTAAGGAACAAAATTGTTTCTTCTTTCAGTAGTTTTCTGATCACATTTCACTTGGCTGAACTGTTCAGAGTTCCTCTGTTTAGTTAGATAAGTAGTAGCATTGGGCAGAGTTCAACAGACCTTACCCTTCAATCATTATCTGTCAAACATTAAGCATCAATCTGACCCCAAACACGACAGGAGTGTAACACTCCTGTTGTGTTTGGGGTCAGATTGATGCTTAATGTTTGACTAATGTTGAAAAGAAGAGGCAGATGATCTATTCTCTATTCTGTCGTTCGTTTGCATACATACTCAGCAGAACAAAGAAAATTGAATTTCCGTAAGCCATCCATCTTGAGTCAATTAACTCTTTTGTCTGGATTCAGGGTGTGTTAGTTTGGAGTATGAAATCTTGTGAAATGTTCCATTTCAAGTGCAAAATGGGCTCTTTCAAGTCTTTTGGAAGTGGGTTTTTTTTCCATCCGGGAACAGAGATGATCTCTTTCAAGTCCTACATTTTCAAAAAAATGTTTCAAACAGTCCGTCTCATGCTGGAGTTCCCTGCTCTTGAAGTGGGATTTGCAAATTTTTTCAGAACAAAATAATTTGCATCTGTGCAAGGGTTAAAATGCAGTATTGCAGGCAAACTCTGCCCACAGCCTGGAGTTTGATCTTGACCGGGCTCAAGGTTGTCTCATCTTTCCATCCTTCTGAGGTCAGTAAAGTGAAGATCCAGATTGTTGGGGGTAATATGATGACATTGTAAACCACCCAGAGAGTTCTGAAAAGCACTAAGGGGTGGTATATAAGTCTAAACACTGTTGTTATTGCTATTGCGAAGGTACAGGAATGAGGAGATTCATGCACAGGTGCTAGCTGCCAGTTATTCATTCTCAGCCATAGGTCAAAGTGGAAAATTATTGATCTACTATTCCACAATAGTCCAGTTTTTCTCAACCCCAGTATGCTATGTAGACTTCAACTCCCAGAATCCCCAGCCCAGCATGCTGACTGTGGAATTTTGGGAGTTGAAGGACACATGGAGAGTTCTGGGAGTTGAAGTCCATGTTAAAGTTGCTGATGTTGTAGTGGATTACATCCATAATCTTCAATGAAAAAGTCTTCATCCTTTGGTGGATTGACTTGAGCTGATTCTTATTCTCTCTCTCCCCCACCCTCCCTCTCTCCCCCTCCTTCTCCATCTCTCTCTCTCCATCGCCCTCTCTTTCTCCATCGCCATCTCTCCCTCTCTTTCCATCTCTCCCTCCCTCCCTCCCTCCCTTCCTCTCTCCCTCCCTCCCTCTCTCTCTCTCTCTCTCTCTCTCTATTGCCTCTCTTCCTGTCTTTCCATCCATCCATCCATCCCCCCCCCTCTCATGTCTTAAGGATGGATATGTGTTGAGACTGGGAAATGTAAAAGTCATGGGAGTTGGGAGATGTAGTTTCAATGCACCTAGAGGATACTAACTTGGGGGCAGGTTGGTTATTACCATTCTACAGAGTGAGTTGCAGGAGAATAAATGTATATGAAGAACGGGCTGCCAACTTTTAAAAGCTTCTTGCTCATAACACTTTCTCTCATTAGCCAAAGGACTGAGCTAGGACTCCACTGCTTCTATAGTTTATTGAGGACATGCAAAATGATACTCACAGCTACACAGTCCGTTTATGCATCTCATTCAGTCTCGAATCTGATCCTCCTGTTTTGCCAATGATGAAAATATTTCTACAGGTACTCCTCTAAGTCATTTTGCTTTCATTTTTCTATTTATTTTTCACCAGAGGGGGTCTTAACTCTCCGTGCAAAGCCTCCATCTCCAGATGAATTTGTGGACTGTTTGCAAAAATTTAAGCATGGTTTCAACCTTTTGGTAAGTGACTATGAGCTGGTTACTCCAAGCAATTCCAGGTTTTTGTTGAAGCCTTGATAGCAATAGTCGATTTGTTTTGTAAATCTGTTATTACAATCTGCCACTGTGAATTTCACCAGCTTTCCCTGTAAATTGCAACTCAGGTTTCCTTAACGGAACATACTTTCTTGGCAATTGTACAAACTGTTTCTGAATTGTTTTTTTTTTAGAACAAAAGGGAAACGATCTAAAGGGGTGATCATATAGTGGTATTAGAGCTCACTTTCTTTAGAAATACGTTTTTAAAAAATTTCATCACACTCAGCTAAAGCATTGCAACTTCCAGGACTTTTTGTAGGATTGTTTTTCAAGCTACAACACAAGAATCTTTGTAGGATACTTGAGAGACCGCCTGCTGCCAATCACCTCCACTAGACCAATTAGATCCCACAGATTAGGCCTCCTCCGAATTCCATCCGCTGGCCAGTGTCAACTGGCGACTACCCGGAGGAGAACCTTCTCTGTGGCTGCTCCGACCCTTTGGAATGAACTCCCCATTGAGATTCAAACCCTCACCTCCCTCCAGTCCTTCCGCAAAGCCGTTAA